AGCAGAAGAGATAGAGAGCAGAAAGCAAGAAGCAAAAACAGCAAAAGCAGAAAGAGGGAAGCAGAAAGCAAGGAGCCAAAAGCAAAAAGCAAGAAGCAAAAACCAGCAAGCAGAACCAGAGAGAAGAGCAGTAGGCACCACACATGATCAGGAACCACAGAAACAAAAACAAATCCAAAAAGAAAAAAAAAATCCTAAAAAAAAATAGGACCCCAGTTTTTTGTGGCTTGCAATGATTCTTGCCAGCCTTGCCTGGATCAGCGAGTCCACGAGATCCGCAGCTTCAGATGCTGTTTGGATCTCTCGGGCCTCGTTTGACCAGGAACGTTCTTCTTCGCTACCAGTAAGGGGGGGTGTGATGAGCGCACGCCGGCCCGCAGATGCCCTTTTTTGATCAACTGTGGTATCTTTTGTCAGCGCACCTGATCGGCCAGCTGGTAGCACAATGCGCTCGAAGTGTTCATCTCGGCCGGCCGGCGGCACCTTGGCAGTCTGGGGTTTTTATTCAGGATCACCTTCGCGTAATGTTAGTGACCAGGACCATTACACTTTACAGCCTGCTGCATAGCTGGGTGCAGCACAGCGCCAGTAGAGCCAGCAGCGCCCAGCGGCAAAGCATAGCTTTGTTGATGCATTGGCTTAAGGCCACCACGGCCCCGGAAGACACCGCTGCAGCCACCTTCAGAAAGGAGAGCACTGGCTTCTTAGTTTGCTCCTCTAGACTCAATGAAGCACCATCTGACAAGCCGATAAGCTCTTGATGACGACACGTCCATCTCTAGCCTAGGCCTAAGCTCAGTCACATACACGGTAGCGGTAGGGCCAAAAGATCACCGGAAACCTCAAGGTTTTGGTAGCCACTAGTTCCACCGCTATCTTTCTCCAACACAGCCTATGTTAGTTGTGAAGCTTCTCATTGCTTGGTTTAAACTACGGGCTAAGTAGCCTGAACCTTGTCTAGCAGCCCGCTTCATCAACCCTTTATCAACCTGGGGCACATGTGCTTCGTACCAAATGCTGAGCTCTGCCTTCTTAGCAGCATTTGTTGCGTTTGCTGAGTTGGTGCTTGGAGACTACTTTGCTACCGTCAGGCCTTACCCCTTGCTTGCGGCACTACAGTTCAAAAGACACAGAAGAGTCGAACCTCCGACCGCCGCGGTCTGCCACGAGCAAGGTGGTTCATGTGGCAAAGCAGTGCCATACGACCGCATGCCTGACTACTCAGTGACTACTCATGATTGTAGGAATGCAAAGTTGCAGGAGACGGTAGCCACACTTGCTGCTAGCAACCCAGGAGGATTCAAGCTTTCCTCGCTTAGTATGTCTGACCCTCAGCCAAAGCCACAACAACTCTTCTTCAACCGTTCCAAGACTGGACGAGACCGAATCCAAGGTGGTGCTCACCTCTTTATCGGCTTGTTCGGCGGCCACAGTCGCAGCGAGAAGATGGGCACAGAAGGCATGGACGCTGGGGCAATTGCAGCCTGTGCCAAGTTGCAAACATACTGCTTCTACAAGGTGGCTGCTATAAGTCTGTCTGTGGCTGTGCTTTCTTGCCAGGCCAGGGGCGGCCATTCACCAAATCCACTTTGCGTGGCTCCGAGGAGCTTCTGGAAGGCACCGTGGCCTCGCCCGGCCAGGGCCCAGACAACGACACACTTTGTGCCAGTCTGCGACCCTTGTCCCAGGCCTGCAGTGGATTGCTAACACGACTTACTCGATCAAGGTCAATTTTGTCATTATCGCGACTGGTCGTTGTCATGAGGGTTCTTGCGATGCTTGTTCCGTCCTGCATCATCCCTCGATCTTCTTGCCTAGGTTCAGTTCTACATCTGGTGAAACCACACGGAGAAACAGCAACTCGCCGAAGAGCAGCCCAGTTGCAAGCACTTGGGCAGAAGCTTCTCCAGGCGAGGGCACTGCCAACTTGAGAGATCTTGCTCAGCGCACCTGGAAGGACAGCTGCGTGGAATGAGTAGTTCTAGTCACTGCTGGCAAAGTAAGGAACATCACCCGGCCCTGGTATTTTCTCACTTCAAAAAGCCCAACATCATGAGCACCAGCCGGGCTCCAACCAGGCCAAAATCCTGGTCTTGAGCAGGCTAGGCTTGGTTTTTCCCAGGGGCGGTCAAGCAGGTCAGCTGGGCTTGGTTTTTTCCAGGCACGGCCAAGCAGGCCAGCATCATGAGCATCAGCTGGGCTTGGTTTTTCCCAGGGATGGCCAAGCAGGCCAGCATCATGAGCATCAGCTGGGTTTGCTTTCGCTGGGGACGGCCAAGCAGGCCAGCATCATGAGCATCAGCTGGGTTTGCTTTCGCTGCGGACGGCAACGCAGGCCAGCATCATGAGCATCAGCTGGGCTTGGTTTTTCCAAGGAACAGCCAAGCAGGCCGGCATCATGAGCATCAGCTGGGCTTGGTTTTTTCCAGGGACGGCCAAGCAGGCCAGCA